ATTAACAGAGCCTTTTCCATCCATGAATCTTTTCTCTAAACTACTTTATGGTGGAATTTAACACATACAGAAAACTTCATAAAACAAATGAACACAAGTGTAATTACCACTTCACTCAAAAACTAGAACCTTGCTGGCTCACCAGAAGTCTTCTTCATGCACTTTCCTAATCACATCCCCTTTTCTCTCCCCAAAGATAACCACTCACCCCACCTATTCTCCTGTTCTCAGCTCAAGCCCACAATCCCCACACCCCACCTCACTTCTGGGATATTCTCCTGAACTCATACAGACCTCTGATAACTTCCTTTGTCTCTGATCTTTAAAGCACCTATTTTCTTTAGCATTCATTTGGCACCTAGTCACCTATAGCATCTCTTTATAAAGTTACATTTATGGTATTCTTCTTGTATTGTTTATATTATTTTTCCTTCACTGTAGATATCTTTATCTGTTCAAATACTTTTTGACGTCCACATTCTATATTGCTGTTGTCTATGTTTTACGTTTATAGTTAAATATTCATTAAGTATCTATAATGAGATCTTATTGACAGACATATCAAAGCGTGTAAGAGACAGGTTTACTCAACCCGATAAAGAGAAAGAGCCAAGTATAGTCTACACAGAGACACACAGAGAGAGAAAGAGAGAGCAAGGTATTGTTCTGATGTAGTGCACATAAGTATTCAAGAGTTTCACACACTGAAAATCATAATTTCTCTCTCCCCTATTGTTCCTTTCCTCAAACCAGAGCAAGTGTTAGGAAATCCAGATATGCTTCAGATATAATCTTCAAACAGATTAAGGTTTTGAGTAAAGAAGACATTTAGGATCAAGCAGTACCTGTGCTCTTTAGCATTTTACTTGAGAGGAAACATTGCCAGAACATGGGCCACACTATTGGTTGAACTCCTGACGTGGATACTCCAGGAAGGATTCCACATTGTCAGGGAAACTGGAAGAGATGACACTGAAAATCCTTTCCTACCTTATGATGGCATAGATGAATGAAAGCCATTGCCAATCTAAATATAATGATTAAGTCTGTAGTTTTACTTAGAAATTAAGTTGGTGCTGAAAGCTCAGGTCTAAGACATGGGATTGTGATTCAGCTAGCTCCCAGATTCCACCCACTAAATATGGTTAACACTTTTAGTCAACCTATATCCATCATTTCAACTCTTGGGTGGAATAATAAATGTTAAACATGTGAACGTGAATTATCTTTCCTTGCTTTTCACGTACTGTCAGTGACCACCCCTCCGTGTCACCTATACTTTTCTTGCAGAATTTTACTCATTCTTTGAGATTCAAATAAAACATATCATCCCGTATGAAATCTACCTTGATTTCTCATGAAAGTTAGGGCTTTGTCTATTCTGCTTAACAACACTTTTTTTCCTTAAAATACTCAACACGTTGTATTTCAGTGTATTTATCTGCCCCACAGAATTATAAGCTCCTCAACTTTAAGGGCTGGGTTTTATTTAGTACTAGACCTGTGGTAGGTGCTCAATAATTTGAGTGAACAAAAAGTACAGAGTAGAAAAATTTGAGACACAGAATCAAAAGTAATAAACACCCAGTGCCAGAATTAATATCTTCTGTTTTCCAGTTACTAGATTAGGTACTGAGAAAAGGCAAATAAAACACAGAACAGGCATCCAGAAGCTCACAGTCCAGTAGGGAAAGAAGAGAAGTAAGTGAACACATGAAATATTGTAGGAGGGAGGAAGATGGAGGTGGGTAGGGTGCTGTGGGAGCCCAGAGAACTGGTGTTTGACTCAAGAGGGGGAGTAGGAGCCAGATGTGCAAGCTGATTTACTAAGGACAAGCAGCCCGTCATATGGAGAAGGGGAAGAGGTAGGGGGCGTTCAAGGCAGGGGAACTTGAAGCATTGGAGTCCTCTTATGACCTTACATGGAGATTCCTAGCAGTGAGAACAAGCACAGAAATTTGCTTCTGTCAGGTTGACCATAGCCCTAGCACGTCTGTGGGGTGTACCAGCGAGGAAAAGAGAAAGGAGAGGAGAGCATACTTCTTCTGTCTGACTGGGAAAAAGTAAAAAGATGCAATTGGATCACGTGTGAACTTGTACTATACTTAGATGTACAAAGAAAATTAGCTTCTTTATTTTCTAGTAAATGGCTGATCTTCTTTACAGTCTCCTCACATCCCCTTGGGAGGGGAAGGCAGAGACTTTCAACTTCCTATTTCTTGCATCACAAGTTATACTAGTTTGAACAGTGTATTTTCAGTGACTCAGTCTCTTTTGGATAAATGCTTTTCAGATTTCCTCTCCCCATCTCTACTTCTGCCTCCATCCCTTGCTTTTTTTCCAAGGACAACCTCATGGCAACACAGAAGACAAATGATTGGAACTCATGTAGCATTCTCTAGAATCTTATTGGTCTCTTCTGGGTCCTGCCATGAGGCAGCCACTCAGCCTTTCAGGTACAGCTGGTTTTATTTGACGTTTTGGAGGATATGCAAGCATCTGTGACTAGAACTCACAGTCTAGGGCATTTATATGGTATTTTAAATGTGGCAACCACTTCATTCAGACCCTGGGTCTTAGCCTGTATGTTGCTCCAATCAGCACCTCAACATCTGGTCACATTTTTGAGTACCATGTATGGGCCTTGGGAAAGAAGGAGAGATACTTTAAGACAGTCTTTCTGGGCACCCTCCTTCAGGATCTTCAGGCATGTGCATCTGGATCTTTCCACTGGGTCCCTTTCCTTGGGGTTCATCCTGAGTGGGGGAAATGAAGAAATGAAAGATCTTTCCATAGTACTTAGTCAACTCTCTTTTCTTTCCCATAATCCACCAGGATAGAAGGGGCAATTGATCTACTTCTCCTTCCTGGCATAGACTTCTCTTACATAATATTCTCCTGTTTCCTTCTTAATAGAAGAGAAGTACTTCCATATTGTGGGAGAAACTATAATTTGAAAAGAAACTCTAAACTCTGAGTTGGCCAGGTCTGACTCTTGATGGAGTACAAATGGACATTGATTTAACACCCACACATATTATTCTAATTACACAGGCACAGCCAGGATAAAAAAGTAACACTTAAAGTAAGTGTTGTGGAATGGCAGAGTGAGATGGTGAAACTCCTTTCTCACAAAAACAGAAAATACAGGCAAAACAACTAAAATCATTTCACGACTTTAGAAATTAACCAAAACCACAGAACAAATTGAAAATTGTCTATGCAAGAGAAACTAAACTTCTGTAAGGTAGCAGTATCTATGTCATTTTAACATGGGCTATTCCCATCCCCCTTTCGTCTCCAGCCAGGTAGTGGGGTAGTCATGACAAGCCAGCAGTCTTGCAGCCAATGGAGAGGGATGACCAATTCTGGAACTTGATTAAAATACCCATCTGTATAGTACCATTGATATTTTGTCTGTATTTGCAGCTACCTGGAAAATTTTCATTCCCAGGGTGTTGGGGCTATTTGTTTTGACTCAGAGCTAGCTCAACAACAACTAAAAGCTCTATCCCCAGGATATTACCTGAAATAATAGTAATCTGCTGGCAACATCATAGCGGTTGGTCTAAGGCTGTGATTTCAGTTGAGGCAAAAAAGAGTATGACCAAAAAATATAAAGGAAGTCCTGGAGCTAGGTAACTAGAACTAAGGAACTTCAGAAAGCCCTGACATATTTCTGAGGATCTAGAAGGCAGTGTGTGTGTGTGTGCAGGACTTGACCTGAAAAGGAGAAGGCTTCAGCCATTCCAGTCCACATTTAGCTGACATTGACATTGCACAAGCAAGAAGTGAAAGCTAAGACTGCTTCATAAATTGCCTGAAATTTGAAGGCATGCCTTCGCACACAGATCCCTTTGGCAAAGGGTGAAAGACATGTAGACAAAGCATTTAAGGAAATCTTCCTATAGATCATTGGCTGGCCACAAGAATGACCCCTAGGAACTCAGATTAAAAATAAAAACAAGAACTTTAAAAAAGGCCTAGGAGAGAACTCATTGGCCACATATTTCAGAATACCGACAACAATAAGAAACTTTGGAGAGGAGGGTGATCTGATACCATAGTTGTTATATTATTCAATGTACTATCTAAAGTATCCAATTTCAAAAGAATTATGACACATGCAGAGGAAAATAAAAATATGACACATACGTGGATAAAAACAAAGGGAGCCAAAGAAAATGTCCCTGAGGGGGAACTGATAGTGAACTTGGTAGCCAAAGAATTTAAACCAACTATTATAAATATGTTGAAATAACAGAAGAATTAAAGGAAAGCATGACAATGATATCTTACCAATTAGACAATATAAATAAAAAGAAAAATAATCAAAATAAACCTCAGTAGACCTTCTGGAGTTGAGAAGTACAATCACAAAAATAAGAAAAGTTTAGTAGAGGTGTTAAAAACAAATCTGAGCTTGCAGAAGAAAGAATGTCAACTTGAAGATAGGTGAATTGAAATTATCCAGTCCTAGGAATAGAAAAAAAAAAAAAAGAATGAAGACAAATGAACAGCACCTTAGAGACCTGTGCATACAATCAAGCATATGAACATACGCAAAATGAATGTCTCAGGAGGAGAGAAGAGATAAAGGGGCAGAAAGAATATTTGAAGAAATAATGGCCCCAAACTTCCAAAATTTGATGAAAAGCATTATTCTACACATCCTAGAAGCTCAGTGAACTGTAAGATAAACTCTAAATGATCTACACAAAGACTCACCATAATGAAACTTTAGAAAGCCAAAGACAAGAAGACAATATTGAAAGCAGCAAGAGAGGTGACTCATCACATACAAAGGATCCTCATTAGAAACCATGGAGGTCAGAAGATGAGATGAGATGACATAGTCAAAATACTGAAAGAAACGGACTGTCAACCAAGAATTCTATATCCAGCAAAACTATCCTTCAAAAATGAAGGAGAAATTAAGATATTCCCAGGTAAACAAACTCTGAGACAATTTGTCACTAGCAGAGTTATTTAATAAGAAGTACTAAAGGAAGCCCTTCAGGCTGAAATAAAAGGACACTAGATGGTAACTCAAACCCATACAAAGAAATAAAGAGCACTGGAAAAGGTAAATACATAGCTAAATATAAAAGACAATATAAACATATTTTTGTTTCTAACTGTTTTATTCTTTTGTATGATTTAAAGGCAAATACAGGGACTTCCCTGGTGATGCAGTGGTTAAGAATCTGCCTGCCAATGCAGGGGACATGGGTTTGAGCCATGGTCTGGGAAGATCCCACATGCTTCAGAGCAACTAAGCCTGTGTGCCACCACTACTGAGCCTGAGCTCTAGAGTCCGTGAGCCACAACTACTGAGCCTTTGTGCCACAACTGCTGAAGCCTGTGCACCTAGAGCCTGTGCTCTGCAACAAGAGAAGCCACTGCAATGAGAAGCCCATGCACCACAAAGAAGAGTAGCCCCCACTCGCTGCAACTAGAGAAAGCCCATGTGCAGCAATGAAGACCCGATGCAGGCAAAAATAAATAAATAAATAAATAAATTTAAAAGACCAGGAATAAATTTAACAAAGGAAGTACAAGACTTGTACACAGAACACTACAAAACACTGTCAAAAAAAACGATTTAAGTAAATGGAAGGACATCCTATGTTCATGCATTGGCAGAGTTAATAGTGTTATAATGGCAATACTCTTTGTATTGATCCACAGATTCATTACAATCCCTGTAAAAATTCCAGATTCCCCTTTGCAGAAATTGGCAAGCTGATACTAACATTTTATGGAAATAAAAGGGATATATTGCCAAAAGAACCTTGGAAGAAAAGAACAAAATTGGAAAACTCATACTTCCCTATTTCAAAACTTACTACAAAGTTACGGTAATCAAGATAGTGTAGTACTGGAATAAGAATAGAAATATAGGTCAATAGAATATAAGTGAGAGTCCAGATATTAACTCTTATATTTATGGTCAGTTGATTTTTAATAAGGGTGCCAAAATAATTCAATGGGAAAATATAATCTTATCAATAAATGGTACTGGGACATCTGAATATTCACATGGAAAAGTATTAAGTTTGACCCCCTACCTCACATTGTATACAAAAATGAACTCAGAATGGATCATAGACTTAAATATGAGCTAAAACTATAAAGCTTACAGAAGAAAACTTAGGAGTAATTCTGTGACCTTGGGTTAGACAACAGTTTCTTAGATATGACACCAAAAGTGCAAGTGACAAAAGAACAAAGAGGATAAATGGGATTTCATTAAAATTAAAACATTTACTTCAAAGGACACTATCAAGAGAATGAAGACAACCCACAGACTGAAAGAAAATATTTGTAAATTATATCTCTGCTAAAGGATTTGTATCCAGAATACATATATATATATATATATATATATATATATATATATATATATTTTTGTTTTTTTTTTTTTTCTGTATGTGGGCCTCTCACTGTTGTGGCCTCTCCCGTTGCGGAGCACAGGCTCCGGACGCACAGGCTCAGTGGCCATGGCTCACGGGCCCAGCTGCTCCACGGCATGTGGGATCTTCCCGGACCGGGGCCCAAACCCGTGCCCCCTGCATCGGCAGGGGGGACTCTCAACCACTGCACCACCAGGGAAGCCCCAGAATATATTTTCAATAAACCTTACAACTCAATAATAAAAAGACAAATAAGCCAATTAAAAAAGAGCACAGAATTTGGATAGACATTTCTTCAATAAAAATATACTAATAGCCAACAAGAATATGAAAAGATGCTTGACATTATTAGTTATTAGGTAAATGTCAATCAAAGCTGTAATCACTTCATACCCACTAGGATGGTGAAATAAAAAAACAAACAAACAATAACAAGTATTAACAAGGATATGGAGAAATTAGAACCCTCATATATTGCTTACAGGAATGTAAAATGTTGCACCCACTTTGGAAAACAATTTGGTAGTTCCTCACATTATTAATCAGAGTTACAATACAAGCCAGCAATTTTATTCTTAGGTATATACCCAAGAGAAATGAAGACATGTCCTCACAAAAATGCGTTCATGAATGCTCATAATAGCCAAAAAGTGGAAACAACTCAAATGTTCATCAGCTGATGAATGGATAAACAAAGGTGGTATATCCATACAGTGTAATATATTCAGCCAGAAAAAGAAATGAAGTATTGATACATGTTATAAAGTAGATGAACCTTGAATAAACGCTAAGTGAAAGAGGTAATCACAAAAGACCAGATATTGTATGATACCATTTATGTGATGTCAACCTGTAAAAAACAAGAATCCAGTTCAAGAGGTTAAATGTTGATTTGGGATCAAAGAACTGCAGTTTGGGGTACACAGATTTAGGTAGAAATCCAAATAGTATCCTGATTACAGGAGAGGGAGGGGCTCAGGGTTTTTAAGGGGAAAAGAGAGGAAGATAAGTTGTTTTTAAAAAGGGTTAATTGGTGCAAGATGAGGTAATTGATCAAGTGAAGTCTTCATTGGTAAAAGATGAGGTAAAGCTAGATATGTACTTTATTAATTGGTCAGGTGAAGTGGGCATGAGGTAAAAGTTCACTTTTATCAGTCCTTTCAAGGATATTCTTGTTCTTGCTCATTTCTTGGCACATTGGTGGTGTGACCTAGTTCAGAGTTTCAGAAAATAGGATGTACAAGGCAGGTGTTCTGGAGTGTCTACTGTGGTGTGGTAGGATGAAAATGTTGTAAAACGAGATTTTGGAGGTGGTTGCAAAATTCTGTGAATATACTAAAAACCGCAGCGCTGCATACTTTAAATGAGTGAATTTTATGGTGTGTGACTTACATATCAATAAAGGTATTTTTTAAAAAAGAGAGATATAGGGGTGCCACAAAAAATGTTACAGGTTTTGTGGGGGGGAGGCATGAAATCTCATGCTCATCATCTCAGAGAGCATGGCTCTGTTAACCAGGTGTTTCGGGAAAGTCCCTAATAGACTAGGTGAGTTCCCTTGCTAAGATCTATTTAGAAGCCTAGATTTATTCAGATTTTATTTCCAAGCACTAATTTTAAACTTAAACTAAATCTTACGGCCTACAGGTGACATTTCATATGTCAAAGTACTTTTACACTTGTCATTTTATTTGGCCAGAAAGACAAATGTTATCAATGGTTAAGAAATTTTTAATTTCTTCTCCATAAAAATATTTTATAAGAATTATAACAAAGAGGCACAAATAATTGATTTAGGAGGCCTTTCAATAGTATTTTTCTAAATGTGTGCAGAGGAACACCAGCTTTGCTAAGTGTTTTGGGGAAAAAAAGAGATCAACAGCCAAAAATGTTTGGACATCTATGTACAACGTTCTTTTCTTGGAAATTGAATGGGCATGAGGTAATTAAAGGCTCTGAAAAGTTATTCACACTCACTCAACAAATATTCATTCAATGCCTCCTAAGTGTCAGGCACTGTTCTTGGCACTGGGGACACAACAGAGAACAAAGACACAAGTCTTCATCTGATGGGGTTTGCATTTTAATGTTGTACAGAAAAAAATCTATTTTAATTTAGTATTTTTAATTAAGTTTTTCTCAACTTATTTGATCACAGAATAATTTTTTTCAAGAAATATCCATTAACATTCTGTGGAATACATTTTGTTAAATAGGGGTCTGCATTTATATATACCAACCTTCTAATAGAAATGCTATAAGACAGTCAAGGGGGAAAAGCAGCATATGCAAGCATCCTGAATTGTACACAAACTGTGGTTTTAGTCCTTGGTGTTATCAAAAGGTAATGGGAATTAAACCTTTATCCTTAAGGAGTATGACAGGATGGCCTGATTAAAAGTGAGGATGGGAAAGAAAACAAAAGAGATGAGCAATTAAAATATTTGTAAACATATTTTAGGTGACCCAGTTTCCAGATCTTTTTAATTATGAACAAGTTGAGAAAACCAAATGCAATTAATTAGGGTACTATAGAGGAGGAGGGACATGTGTATGAAATTAAGATATCATCTGAGAAATCTGAGTGTAAGGAATTGTAAATTTCCTACTGGGAAACTACTGGGAAATTTAACTACTGGGAAATTATAAAGGAATTACAAATCCCCTCTTAAGAAATGTATTCAAGTGACAGTAAACTACTAGAAATTCAAGTACAACAGTAGGTTGGACTGGATAAAACTAAGGCTAGAGCAAATTTTGGAGATAAAAAAATTATCCTCAAAGGCAATATTAAAAGTCATAACTTTACTATTAATTCCTATTAAAAAATCTTCTTTACACTTACATTCTTTTCTCTAATAAAGTTCAGTTTTGCATAAGTGGAATCAAACAATAAGTATGTAGCCTTTTGTGTCTTTATTTCAATGAGCATAATATTTTCAAGGTTCATCCATATTTTGGCACATATTGGAATTTCATCCCTTTTTAAGGCTGAATAATATTCCATTGTGTGTATATACCTATCCATGCATCTGCTGATGGACATTTGAGTTGTTTCCGTTTTCTGGCCATTGTGAATAATGCTGCCATGAAAACTGGTGTACAAGTATCTGTTTGAATACCTGCTTTCAATTCTTTGGGGTATATATCTAGAAGTAGAATTGTTGGATAATCTGGTAATTCTATGGTTAACTTTTTGAGGAACTGCCAAACTGTTTTCCACAGCAGCTGCACCATTTTACATTCTCAAGGAACAAGGGTTCCAACTCCTCCACATTCTTGCTGTATGATCAGGCCATCCAAGATGGCTGTTCTCTTGCTCTCTGTACATCCCCTGCTCAACCAGTGCCTACCTCATTTACATGCTACTCACCTGACTAACCTTCCTACATACTTGCCCCAGACCCCAGCTAATGATTGGTTTAACTTTAGGTACCAGGATAGCTTATCAAAGAGGTTGTGAGGGGCATGCCCCTCTGCTGGTTTCTCTGGTAACCAGTGAACCAATCTGATGTCAATTCACCCTATAACTGGTAACCTCCCCCTGCCCCTGAGAGCAAAGACTGCTGCCATGTTCTGTCCCTGCCACCTGCCACACACAGTGGGGTGTTGCTCCAGGACCTTGCTTCAGGCATGTAAGCTCCATCTATCCATTAAACCATTAATGTCTCTTTTGCTAACTCTGAGC